TTCCATTGGCAAAGTGTCTCACTTAAATCCTTAATTCAAGAAAAAATGCACTTATTTTAAGAAGAAATGACTTATTTAGATTTCATTTTTTTGCAGTGCAGTTTGAAATTAACTTAGTTTCAGATGAGTTGAGTGATAACTGAGAAGGAACAGGATGACACAACCAGAAAATGAAAATAAAAACTCAACGGTTGAAACGTTCCTGTTCATTTTAAGCTGCTCCAAAATTCTGGATAACTTTAATAAAAAAAAACGCAAAAGCAGATGCATCATGTTGACAGATACGTTTTTTAAAATGAGTCAGTCAGTTAGAAACAACTCCTGTATCGGTCACATGACCTTCATGAATCAGTAGCGCACCAATGCAGTGTTTTGCTTTATGGGGTCCGCTCATCCACCAACGCATCAGTATCAATGGACCCATTAATAGTATTTTGTATTTTTGCAGTTTTGGATGTCTGCCTAAGTTGCCCTATTTGATCAACAAGAACTCATCTCTGCATTTGGGTCAACTAGCAACTTCTGTTGGGATCTGGAGGCTTGTCCACTTTCTCCACCAGAGGGCGCCGGAGATCTTCCTTCCTGAGGGCATGAGCTGCTCCCACACACCTGTTTCCTGTCTCCTCATTAAGAAGACCTATTTAAGGAGGAGGAGGCTGACACTTCCCTGCCAGAGTGTTTGCCAGTAATGGTTAGCAAACCTGAGCCAGCCTGCCTGATCTAGACTCGGATTTTGTGAACCTGTCTGACCCTGTTTCTCTCTGCCTCACAGATCCTGACTTGCCTGGAAACCTGAAACTCTGGAGATAGAAATCTCAGCCTGGAATCTGCCTGCCTGCACTCAGTCTCTGCCTCTGCCTCTGCCCTCAGCCTGCTGACTAGCCTCTGGACTCACAAGGTGACCAGAATCCTCTCTGAGCAGGTATTTATCCCCGCCATCAGCAAACTGCTAATTTCCTGGATCCATTCTAACTGCTCTGTCCTCCTCAGTGGTGTTCCTCCCGTGACCAGACCTCAGAACCCAGAACCAGTGCATTATTCCCTTTGTAAATATTGTAAATAAATCATTGAACTTTTTCCCTGTCTTAAGAGTGTTTCTCTGCATGTGGGTTAGAAGCCTTGAACCCAACATGACAACTTCACCCCGCCTGTTGACAATAAGGACCTGCTGCTGAGTAAAGAGGAACGGTTCAGACTGAAAGGAAAGCATAACTTGGTCAATTTGCAGGTGAAAGATCAAACTTTTTTTAAAATCAGGGCCTTAAATAACTATGGTGGAAAATTCCCACAGTGCAAAAAAAGCAAAAAAAACGTGTCACATTGAAATCTTTTCCCATTCTGCTGATTTTCACATCTAGATATTAACATTCCTGTTTCAGTTTGCAAGGACTTTAACAAGTGTTTAAAATGTTTAACTGATGTT